CACGGTTTTCATTTTTTGTGGTGGAACTCTGGAAGTGGAAGTCTTTGTGGGCATAGACGGAGAAGATTTTCTCTTCATGTTGGTGGAAGCAGTGACGTCCATGGAATAGTCGTGCTCAGACATTTTTAGCGGCGCTGCGACAGTTAGCTTATCATCGTTTTTCTTCATTGCTATAAGTAAAGTAAAAAAAGTACGTCCACTTATGTCCGCCATCCCAGTGGAAGTCCTGTTTTAAACCGGTCTGTGACAAATCCCAGTCGAAAAAAATGTGTGTGATTCGCACCAATTCCCGGACAAAAATCACGCCATCTGGCGGAAAATCTTGCGGCTTTTTCAAATCACGCGAGAATGTGTACAAAACAACAAAAATTGAGCTGGCAACACTTGTGGGTCCTTTTTTAAGCGAATGTCGGTGATTTAAAAGTAATTTTGAGTGATAAATAAATTTTTTTTTTTTGCGATCATTGCACGTGCCCGGCGGGCAAATGCAATGAAATTTGTTCTCTCCCGACAATAAAAACTACTTGCCCCGGGCGATCGGGCAAAGGTTAACATCGAGCCCTGCTATTGTCTTTACATAATTATAAAACTCAGATTAAAAAAGAGATTCATGTGATCAACTGTTATCAAGCCTTGCAATACATTTCACACAATTTAGGTCTTTATTGACATCTAAAATGAGTTTGCCATGTTTCTATCGCTCTGTTGTATCTGCAGCTGCACATTTAAGCTTGTATTAGTTTTTTTTTCTTCCCAGGAATATCCTATATTTAGCTTGTAATTAGTTAGCATGCAAAAGTATTGTCAGTGTCCCATTCCCACAGCATAATGCTGCCATCACCATGTCGCTCTGTGAAATACCGTGCTTAGTAGCGTTACTACATTTTACATGTGCTCTTAAAAGTTGGGAGCTAATCTGATCAGAGCACCTTCTTGAACACATCTGATTTTTTTTTTTTTTTTAATGGCTTTCCTGTTGCAATAGGTACAATAAAGTTCAGATTTTTCAAACTTTCCACCGATAGGTTAGATTTGTCCATCTACGTAAATCTCTGCAGGTGTTCCATAGTTACTATCAGCCTCTTGGCTACACTGTTGAAAAACGTTTTTTAATCATTTTTTCAATATGCACTTTTTTATGTGTTTTATATTCAAAAACACAATATCCGTTATTATGTTTTACCTGTATCACTCTGTGATTATTGAATTTGTTGCAGCACTTTTTCATCAACAGGTATGAAAAAGAGAGACGAATGACACATCTTGGTAATTGTGAAGGTGCTTTATACTTTAATTCAAATAGCATTGAAAAGTGCTGAGCTCCATTGTGTCCTAAACCTACTTTAATCATTGTAGGACAGCAGAGATGGGAACAAATACTTCGTTACTGTACTCAAGTAGATTTTTCTGATATTTTTACTTTACTTTACTACTTATTTTTATGGCGACTTTTTACTTCTACTCCTTACATTTTTACACAAATATCTGTACTTTCTACTCCTTACATTTTAAAAAAATTGGCTTGTTACTTTAGTTTTGAATCATTTCAATGGAGTTACTGTTATTATTTTTCACGTCACCAATACCAAATTCAATCTAATTGGATGGGAATCTACGTTGCATTTGACGCACCACTACAAGATGAATCGACAGATTCGACGGTATTCATTGGCGGCAAATCATTGCAGCTTGGTGGCGGTGGCGTTAGCATAGCAGCATGGATGACGAGATGATTGAAAATGAACACAACGGAGATCTAGTCCTATTGGCAGACATCCATTTAAAATGTAGGCAACGGCATTTAAAAAGTTGTTTCTACTTTTACTTTTATGCTTTAAGTAAATTTACAAGCCTGTACTTTGTTACTTTTACTTGAGTAAAGAAGTTTAATCAGTACTTCCACTTTTACCAGAGTATTTTTTAGCACAAGTATCTGTACTTTTACTCAAGTACGGAAAGTGAGTACTTTTGCCATCTCTGCAGGACAGTAATCTGTACATAGTTTAGAGGTGGGATGTACAAGTCAGTATTCCATTTTTTGGGAACACAGAGACAAATATTTGAGTCTAAAAAAGCTATTACACCGACCGTCTCCAACCTTCTTAAGGCTGAGGGCTTCTTCATGGGTACTGAGTCATAGGAAGGGCTACCAATACTGACCTATAAACTTAAATACTCTATGTGATTTAATATGATGAAATGCTCCATAAATGACTGAAAACAACAGAATAAAATCAAATTAAAACTTATCCTACTGGTGAGTTGTTTTCAGAAGATGCTGATTGCATTGTATGGTGGCCCCTGGTTTAAGGTGACCAATGAGTTAACATACATGATTTTGAATACAGGAAGCTAGAATACTCGAAAGGAACCCAGAAAGATCTCAAACAAGAATTTATAGAATCTACACAAAATGTCTCTCTCCATAGTTTTGACCCTGGTTCCTCTTACCATAGATTGACTCAGAATTTTATGCAGTGTGTCAGAGTGGTATAAAACAACTCATTGTTTTATTCATTTTTTTCTATCACAGATTTTATTGTTTAACTATTTGGAGGAAATCTAAACAACTGTGAGCATGTTTTACAATGCAAAGAATAAGATAGAAAAAGAAAAAAATGCCTGGATTTCAAATACATTTTGTGTAAATAAAACGAACAACAGAGAAACAACACTACATTTTTGTTCTTTATTGCAGTTTTTAATTTGTTTTTTAGTCAGAAAATTAGCTTACAAACCATGCACAGATCAGAAAGCCAGTCTTGTGTGTAAAAAATAACCTGACTGTGTGGGTGTGTGTGGGTGGGTGAGGATGTAGTGTCCTAATAAAAGAAAAAGTCTAAGCTACATATTACATTTTGGGATTTTTTTAAATGTTTGGCTATAGTCAAATTAAAAATAAAAATGTTACCTATTCATATTATACATACTCTTTATTGCCTTTTTAAAATGTATTCTCCATTTTAGGGTTGAAAGGTATTTCTTTCAAGTTTCCATGATTAGTTTTAATTGAAGTTTCTCACAGACACATGCTATCATTTTTAAACTGTTAAAAAGGCCCTTTGTCAGTTGAAACAGGACCACATTTTATCAGTGGACATTCATGGAAAAAACCCAACTGTGGTCTGATACAAAGGTAACTTTGGTCTAAGAGAAGGTCAGAGGGCATTCTCTGAAGTAACCAGCCACCTGTAATTAGCACATATTAAAGGTTAATACCCATCTCTTCTGTGAGTCTGTATGTTAAGAACTGTTGTTGTCATGTTGAACCGGAATGAATCGGCTTTTGTAAACCTTTCTGAATCTAAATGTTGTGTCTTGGGCACAGAAATGAAACTGTCTTTAACACACAGATGGAGTCTTTGACGCTATCTGACCAATCTGATCCCAATCTGTAATTAGCTTTGGTACAGCCTTGATGTGGGAGAGCATAAAAAGCCAGAGTGCATGCAGTGTCATTGACAAACACAAGACAGGTGGGAAAACCAGGGGAAAATGAAGTGGTAAGATTTTAAACATTTTCTTTTTTAAGCTGGTTTTTATTTAATTTACGACTGTATATAAAAGAAATTCAAATAACATTTTTTTTTACCTTCAGTTTCATGTTTTGTCTGATACTGCTACTATTTGCAGTCATAGGAGTACAAGGCCAAATGAGAGGTAAAAGACACAAAACCTCCATTTATTTATTTTTCTTGCATGAATCTGCAGTGAAAACTAATGAATACCAGAAAATGGGGATAATGTGTTTTCCTTCTTTCCTTTAAGCTCCAAGACGACACGTGTTGATCTTTCTCAATGGTGAGATTTTTAGTCAATTTTTTTCCTCCCTGTTTTGCTGTTTGAAGAATAACACATATTTATGTGTGTTTTTTTAATTTTCTTATAGAGGCACTTGGGGCAACAACTGAAAGAGCAACACCTGCCAAAGTCACAGGTTGGTACATCGTAGACATTTTTTCCAGTCTTCATTGCTCATCTCTCTACATCCTTAAAATAACTTTTTGTTCCCTATTAGAACTTTAAAACAGGATAAAAACAGGGAAGAGAAACCTACACAGAATTATTTTGTAGTATTTTTTGGCTTAATATTTAACAAACACTAAAACAAATGTGTGAGATTATGTTGTTAAATTTTATTCCCTCATGCAGCAAAGAGAAACCCAGTTGATAGACCAGTGAGAGACCAAGATTCAGATGGTATGCTACTGTTTTGAATATTTATGATGATATTTTTATTAATCAAAATAGAACAGATTTGAATTAAATGTCAACAAAATATTCAATTTATAGATTTGTCTGAGATGCAGTCAGCAGAAAGTTTAGTCACCCCTGGCTATCAAGGTGCAGTATGAATCATACTAACTTTATATTTTAAAACTTTATTTCCTATTTAAAATAAAAGTAAAGTGAAGTAACCTTTTCCCCTTATATTTCAGGACCTGATCAAAGTGGAAGTGAAAGCAAAGGTGAATTTTTTTATTTGTGTTCTGAATTACTGTAAATCACAAAGTTTGCAGACATGCAATGCCCTGCAAGAGTCTTCATATCCTTTAACATTTCTCACAATCGTATTACATTACAACCAGAAATGTTGATTGTATTCGATAAGCCTACACTGTTATATAAATGTGATTTAGGATGGACCAGATTTATGATTTACATTTTGTTTTACAAATACAAATCTGATAGTGAGCTGTATAATATGCGTCATACCACCAACATTTAAAGCAAGTTAAGAGAAATTAGAGGTTATTTGGGGTATTTTTTTAGCACTTTTGCCATTCTAGGGATGCAAAACAAATTTCAGTCAGTAACCCTGTGTGGAGAGCATGCACCGATAATTAGTGGCCTTAATCTAAACATTTCTATTGTAGCTCTGGCTCTATATTAAGGGGCTTTGTTCTGCTGACATTCTCAAATCTTGCAGCCTCTCACAGGTTTTTCTACCAGGATTATGCTGGTTTTATCCTAACATTGTATAATATCAGTTTTCTGTCCCCTTCAAATAAAAAGTATTCTCACAGAATGAAACGTGTATTTAGTTGGAAATTATGTAATAATGTTTCCATCACTCCAGTGTGACCATGGGCCTCTTGGCTGCTTCTGAATAATCCTCTCCTTGCCAGGCCCGTCTACTCAGAAAAACAGCAATGTTTTGGTAGATTTTCAGTTCTGACATACTCTTTCTTTGTCTGAAAGATCGCTTTATCAGTACTCTGTATTTTTATTTTTTAGGCTTGGGATACTGTTTTCTAACTGAACCCTGCTCTAAACTCTAAATAGAAATAATGTGCTGTTGTTTGCACCCAAATTTATTTAGTGGCATAAAAATAAGAGGGAGCTGTACAAAAAAGCAACACTTTTCAGATTTTTATCTGTTAAAAAAAGAATGGATTCTATTCTTTTTGCAGTAAAGCAGACATTTCTGTTGGATTATCAAATAAATTGGACCCCAAAACACTAGGAAGTTTGTAGTAGTGACAACTACGGTTGTCAAGGAAGGTCATACAAAGAATTAGATTCATGAAAAAGTTTCATTTCTTACAGAAACATCAAAAGACCAAGACAGCTTTGAGCATACTGATCCCAAAGCTGGAGGAAGAGAACAGGAGGCATCAAGGGGAAAAACAAGAGCAGGAACCCACAGCATGCTGCTACTAGATCGGACCAGCAAGCCTGTTCAGGATTATAGGAGCCAGGAGCAAACCAAAGGTCAAGGCAAGCCACAGGGTGGTGAAGGACAGACTGATCTGGGTAGTGAAGAGGGAACAATGGGAAAGTCTGGAAGAGCCACTCAAAGAGGCAAATTCCAAAATCAGCCTCAGAGGGTGCACCCGGATAAAAGCAGAGTGACATCTGGGGAAACCTCAGAGGGTAACGATGGGAACCTGGCTATGGTTCACAACAGTGAAGGTAAGACCACTCATTGAGAGGCAACCAAAGGTTTTTAAAAGTATGAAAATTAGTTAAAAAAGATGTTTAAATGATAATATTCCAACAGAAACCAGAGAATACAGCAGCCCTGAAGCATAGGCGTTTGGTAAGAACATATTTCCTTGACTAAAGTTAGAAATAAAGTAACTGATTGTTAATGCATGCAGTTCTCATGAAATGTTGTTTCTTTTATCTTTAACCCTCACAGATTCCAGCATCTTATCTCCAGGCAGGACTGGATGAAGACTTCTTTTTTCTTCATTTTTTCTGAAACTCATTAATTTCTAATGTCTCTTTTAACAATGGATGGCTTAAAGTATCGTTGGTGCATGCAATTCATCTGCTGTAATTATATACACAGAGTTTTCCTATGTTTTTCAGAGTTGCTTCTTTCCCATGAGTCAGGAGCCTCCATAGGTTGACTCATCAGAAGCAGACAGGATGATTCAAACGCACCTAATGCTGGGGATTTCTTTATTACCTTCAAATAGAAGTTTTTTTCTCCCTGTTTTTGTATTTTTATCTAAATCTGTGGTTTGTTTGAATCCTGTTTTGGGAGTAAATCAAGAATGAGCTGCTTGTAGTAAAAGCTTGTGTATGAAACATGTACAGTAATCACAATAAATAAAGGGGATTTTAATTTGTTTGGCTAAACATTGATTGTGAAATTGAATTTTATTTGTCATTAAATACAAAAAAAAAAAAAAACATAAATTACAAATGGGACCTGCATGAAATATCATTTTCCAATGCATTCTCATTCAGCACAGATTAAATCACCTTCATGAAAAACACTAAATCCCTGCAGACTGTTTATCATTAGAAGCTAAAAGAATACAAATGATTATTGAACACATTTCTTTTAAAGATTTCAAAAGCAGTCACAAGCAGGAAGCTTTTACAGTTTTCCTCATCCTATCATTTGCTAATGTGTCGAAGCTCATTGTAGATATCCGACTGGACTCCGTGTAATTCCTTTAAAGCCAAGTAAACAAATAAAATAATTAACTATCCATATATACTTTGTTGTAAAACATCTTTTAAATGTTCAAATAATGCATAAAAAGATTTTTTTATAGATATATAATCAGTTACATAGTAAGATTTTTTAAATGTATCATTATGTATTTTAGTCGTCATGTAAAAATATCAGATTATTCAATTTTCAACGCTAAATATTTTACCTCGTATGGAGATTCTGTCAGTTCTGGTGTAATTTTCTTTGAAGCAGATAAAGGTAGATTTCTTCTTCCTATATGCAACAAGGGAAAATGATTGATGTACTCCCCAGGGTTTAAGAAAAAACACAGAACGTTTACTAGAGAATTTACAAGTTTACCATCATGAGTCTCTCGCTCCCTTCTTCTCCTGTGCAGACTAGTGAAGCAGAACACACAAATGATGAGGAATATGGACAAGATAATGTCAGAGGCAATGATGCCAATCACGGAGCCCACATTAATTAGGTAGCAGGGGCCACAGTCTGTGAGTAAACATGAGAAAAAGGAGATTTTAAACAGAGTAGAGGATCAGATCACTGTGTTTATTTAAAGAAAAATGTTGAAAAAAATATACCATGCTGTCCTTCCCCTGAGCCTGAAAGAGATAAATGTTTAAAGCATCAGAGAATGCTTACTTCTAAGCTTTTGCTGTAATGCAGTATAAATGTATGTCTCACCAAACATGGAGCCCACAACACAGAGCGCATCGGGCATTTTCTCAGATGAGGAGGAAGAGACAATCCAAAGATTAGTAGATGTTTTCTTCTTTGTTAAATAGCTGCTTTTTTGTGTCCATGAACAGGATGCTGGAAGTCAGAGTAAGGGTTGGAGTCTCCACGGTCAGTACTGTATCAGAAAGTAGGTTTGTCTGCAAGAGAAGGAGGAGCACAAAGAGGGACACCACTGACAGAAGAGGAAGTTACAGTCTCTGCTGTATCTCTTTTCTAATACACGTGATATTTGTACAAATGGTCTTTGTCAGAATAGAAAAGCATAATATCACCAAAATTCAGGCCACAATCAAGAATATATTGTAATTTAAACGGAATAATCCAAATAAAAATAGCTGCAGAAGCCAGCAGCTTCAGGTTCCTTTTATCTCAAACTTAGTTTTTGCTGAAATACGAGTGATCATATCATCAGAAAATGTCCTCATGCTGTATGAATACGAGTGATCATATCATCAGAAAATTTCCTGATGCTGTGTGGTTAAGCGCAGGTGGCTGGCTGAGGTCAGTAATGCCTGGTTTGAAAGGCCTTCACCACAGCTTTAGTCTGAAATAACACTATCCTGCCAGCAAACTGAAACTAAAGTTTTTCTCACTGATTTGGAGTGGAAATTTCTTTTCTTAATGTTCCATAACCCAATGATGTTTTACATCATCAAATATAGTGCTCTCCCTAATTATTTACTGACACAAAAGCATTTCTATAACTATCATCATGCCACGTTCATGGTTCAATACACCAGAGGCTATGAAACCACAAATAAGTAGTGTAGGATGTTGGCAGACATGTGTCTCACTTTATGACAAGAACAGCATCTAAATATGCAAAATCAAACAGGCAAATTGGATCAAGGAGACACCTAAACATGGGCCCTTGTAGTTTAGAGACTTATAGTTTAGGGGTGTTGAAGCAAAGACGGCGGAAATAATGTTCAAGCCTAACAATTCTGGTTTTCATGTTTTTGAAAAGAAAAACATATTTCACTTTTCATGACTTTCACTTTCTAAATAAGCACTCTGTGTTTCTTTGAAATTCTTAAGAACCGTAAAGGACTGAATATGAGCAAACAGCACCAGCCAAACCTTTAATTAAACCACCTATAAAATAAAATCCATGCCATACTAATATGATAACTGTTCACTGGGAAATTTATTATAATGATAATAAATCATTCTTAAAAGAGGGGATTTTGATGTCTAATTAACTTAAACAGAATTTTTGGTTTTCAGTAACCGTAAACCATAATAATCAAAATAACATAAAATAAAGGCTTGCAATATTACACAATATTTGTATAAACATACCGTATATATATTACTTTTGTTTTCTTAAACAGTCACCAAAATATTTAACCTTTTTACAAAATTCTTATATATTCAAATTTTTTGTACCTGCAGTATTGGCAAAAAAAAAAAGACATTTCTTTTTTATCAGAGTTTTTTAATGTTAATCCAGTTATTTTTCACAGAAGAAGTTAGTCATTGGTTTGTATTTTTATTCTTGTATTACCGTAATGTACTGGTCTATGGTAAAGCAACTGCTTCCACCTCATAAATAAACACATTAACCAAAGGTACACATATGTGAAATAAGACAGATTTCTCAACCTATTAATCAAAGCTCAAATGTGTTTTACTGTTATTCTCAGGTTAGGTAGAAGCTGCTTTCATAAACTGAACCTGTAGAAATGTAGTCAGATCTGTGGGATAAAAAATAAAAAAAATCCCTCCAAAATGACGGGCAAAATGGACGCTGAGTGTCCAGAAGATTCTCAGATTGTTGAAGTAAGGAATGAAGCAACCATTTAGACAAAGTCAAGACAGATTAGCCAGACAATGCTACAATATAAGACTGGTCTTGGTCAACATGTTTTCTTCATTTGACTCCAGGCGCAGTTTCACTGCAAGATTTGATCAGCAAAACAGTAAGACTTAACGGATGTGGCTTCAAAACAGGTCACAATACTTAAAAGGTCACGGTAAAGCCATGATAGACCAGATATCAAAGGACTAAATAGAAAAACTGTTAAGCTTTATAAACATAAAGAAATATTCACCGTACAAACGTGTATTATAATTTCATTGCAGAAAAATAAAAACAGAGAAAAACAAATATGTAAGTTTTTTTCTAAACATTCAACATGATCATAATAGTGCAGGGCAAAAAGATGTGTTTAGAAGTAAAAAGAAAAACCCCATATTCACATGGTTTGGTGTGCATTCCTAAGTTTTGCATTCCTTAATTTTGATTATTTAAACTTGATTTGTACCTGTCAGAAATATTTGATACTGATGACAGTATCACTACTTTGTAAAAAAAAAAAAAAAAACTGATTAAAAACTTACTTAACCTAGAAAAAGTTCTTAAGAATAAAGCCATAACATGATATTACCGGTAGGTCATCTTTACATAAAAAATGGTTAGTTTAAGGCTAACCAACAGATACTCGCATTTTAACCCTTGCCTAGCTTGTTGTCAACCAAAAACTACCTGTCGAGGGTGCTATTGAGTAAGTATAGACACTATGCCACGATGCTGTCAAAATGAGCTGTTCACATTGTTTATTCCTTTATTCGCGATGCTTATAATTCCATGTATAGTATAAAGACCATTTTGCATTTGAAAATTTATCAAAATGTAAAAAATTTTATAGATTTTACATTTTTAAATTGCTAATAATAGCAATTGTGTAGTAGTGTACTTACAAAGTGGGAAACTTAGAAAATGCTGGAATATTTTTTAGACAAATTGTCATTAAAAAAAGTTCTCGAAAATTTTTGGCACCCATGATAAAAAGAAAAAAATGAGTAATAGCTTTCAAAACAAACAATCTTTTATTGCAGCAACAAAATCTAGCACTGAAAGATGTTTAGAAATCACACGATTGGTTTAAGTAGGGTTATTCAAAAAAAAAAAAAAAAAAGAAACCCAAGAAACAGAATCATTAAAGTAAAACATGATTTTAGGCAACATTTAAAGTGTTACTCCTAATGGTGCTCCTGATGATGCTGAAAAAATAACCCAAAGTAAATTAAATTGAGTATTAACTTTAATGAACTTTTTCTTGGGGCATAGCTGTGAATTGACAGAGTAGATAAATTGTTTTTAAAACGTCCATTCAAAGCAGGAAAATGAAAAAGATCATGACATTGAAATAAGCTTGTTGGGTATGGATACCCATAAGTTAGAAAATAGTTTCCTAAAAAATAAGTGCTGACTAAGAATTGCAAACAATATGCATACAATATATACAATCAGAGCACTTCTCGAAAGATGATTAAACAGTTGGTGCTATGATAAACAAGGCATGAGGAGTTATTATTGTCAACTTACAGATGTTCGGAGTATGATTAGAGGTAAAAAAAAAAATCATTTAGCCCACCAATAGAAAAAGACAGTCAATTTTATGTTACACAACATAATTACATTTTGTTTAAAATTATTTTTTCCACCAAATGTAGCATAACTGTGGAGTTTTTTGTAAAAAAATAGTTGTATTAAAAACCTACTAAAGCAACCAAATCAGGCAAATAATGAATCAAATCTTCATTCTTTATTCTTGATGTTGGCCCGAACATTCATATAAATCTTGTCAGCTGTAAAGAGATAAAAGAAAATGTAAACAACATTTAAATATAAATAGGGCCTTAGCAACATAATGAGATATTAAACTGAAGAAGTTTTTGGTGGGATATCAACGTATATTCAAATCCGTCCCTCACCATTATCTACTTTCTGACGCCGGTAGCTTGCATATTTGTAGGTGATACCAACAATGAGAAGAGTCAGCATCAAATCTGCAGAGATGATGCCTGCCATAGTCCCCGGCTCAATTCTGTAGCAAGACACATTGCTGCCTGGTAGGCAGGTGCAAAAAGAAAAGGTTACAGAAAATACATTGGTTGAGAAACAAAAAACAGAGACACGATTGGAAAAAATGATTTGTCAAGTTTAAAGTTAACTGATTCTTTTCTTTTACGTCGTTGTAATTGTGGGATTTCAGCAATGGATTTCAGAACCCTAATGTTTTCTGTGCAATGCACATACCTGCTAGTGCCCCACTCAGACCTAAAAAACAGAAAAGATAAAAACAAGGACACATCAGAAATTAGGCCCTTTAATGCTGATATTGAAGAGCTTTTGTCACATCTAACAGCTTTTGTGGTTACCTCTTCCTGTGTCAGACCACCTAAATGTGGAGAGTATTTGTGCAAAATGCAGAGCAGAAGAGCTGTGAAATGATACTTACTGCACAGAAGAGAAACCAGAACAACAACGTTGTTGGCCATAACTTTGTCAGTTCACTTCTGTTGACTCTGCAGAGCAAAAGATTGAGGAGGAGCTCTCAGAGACATTAAAAAAATTAATAATCCTTCTGTTTTACTAGATTTGATAGCAGTATAATGAATAAATTCCCTATAAACTGTGTTAGAAACCGTGGGGTGGACTTTTCCATTTGCACCATGAAACAAACAACTCCTCTACTAGTCAGACGCTTCCGTGTGGGTAGAAAAAACACCAGACAAAAGGAGATAAAAAGTAACTGGAAAAAAAAACAACAACATCTTTATAACATTATTTTTAAAAACTGCTAACTGCTAACATTTGCTCTTAAAATATATTACGCTGAGGGAACTAAAAAGTATATCTGATATTTTGTAGCAGCCGAAAATAGAATCTGAAGAAACATGCAAACCTTAAATGGTGTTAATGTAAGAAATAAAAATTCCAGGAACTGACATGAGGAAGAGAAAATCAGTGTCAAGAGTAAGCGCTACGTACCTTCTCTGTTGGGTTTCATGTGTCTTGTGCGTTCCAAAAGATGAAGTGTGTATGGTTTGTGCTTCAGGGGGGTGACGTCTGACTTCCTCCAGTGGGCTGAAACACTGCTTGTGAATCTTTGTCTAAAAAAGACAAGTCAAAACTGTGTAAGCACTGCTTACATACTTTAAATGCTGTTATGATTAGGCATTACACTTAAGCTATGTCTTAAAAAAAAACAAAAAAAAAATACTATATATATATCTCTATATCAGCATCTCTAGGTTCAAATGTTCTACATCAACATGAACGCTGATCAACTACAGGAGGGTGATAAACTGTGTAGGACATACAACCTTCATCACCTTCCTGTAGGGGAGGGTGACAAAGTGAGGTGACATAAATTGTAGGTAGTTAAAAGGTCATTACTTGGCTCAAAATCTGATAGTTAACAGTTTATATTTTGCCAATGCAAATACTAAGCTGGCAGATGTTATTCATAAACTGTCTGTGTACACTTCCCTATTTAAACCAACCTTTTTATTTTTAAGTTATCATTAGTTGTAATTCCTGTCTGATCCTTTAGTGCAATAATAATTTGAGATGGAAAAATCATTACAATCTCTCAAACATTGCTTTTTGTAAGGTCAGCATTTAAGTTTTAACAAGTAAATGCACAATTACATTTCACATGTTTTAAAAAGAGAGTTTTTTGCTCTTGATACTCACCTTCTTTCTCTCTTGGCCTCCATCACATCCAAAAATTAGGACAGTAAATATGTCCCAACTGTGACACAATACAGAGTTTGTTATTCAATATTCCTTAAAATGACAGACACCGGCAGTAAGTAACTAAAGAAGTCCTGCTGCCTTTTGGGACTCCTGAGGCAGGAAGCAGGTACATGTAGCAAGCAGGTCTAGCATGCTACGGCCCAGGGGGTGGCCGAATAAAAACATTAAAAACTGAGAGGAGTAACCATGGAGAAAGAGAATCAGTTGACCTCAGAGCATTTCTGGCAATCTGTGCAGTGCTTCAGAGAGGAAAGCAATGCTTTGGTAACACAGTTTATAATAGGCGCTGTGAGATGGTGACCTTGACTGAGGATATTGGAAGAGTGGAAGGAATACTTTGAGAATCTCCTCAACCTCACCCAAGCTTAAGGCACAGAGGTGGTAAAGTAAAAAAAAAAAAAAACTCCATGGTGGCAAGACTTTTGGGGTGGATAAGATCCATCCTGAATATCTTCAGTATCTTAGTGTTTTTGGACGACCCTGGTTGATATCTAAGCCTTGTGCTATGGCACAGTGCCCCTGGACTTGCAGACTGGGCTGGCAGTTCTCCTTCATACTGTATGTAAAGTTAAATTTATGCTAACTTAGATATGTTATACTGGCCGGGCAACTATAGTTTCTGTTATATTGCAAGTTTGATTAAAGCAGACAGACGTTTTAGGTAATCTAGGAGCTGCAAGTGAACTATAGTTAACAGAAAACACCTTGGCAGCTACACATGTATTCTAAATGCTAAAACGAACTGAAACTATT